TAAGATGGAATCATTAACAGTAGATGGTCGTACTTAGCAGAAAGGAAGTTTTCTGAGAGCTTTTTAACTCTATTTACAAAGAAACTATTTTTATTTTTGCTGACCCTTTTTGTTGAATTTATCCCAAATCATCAGAGGCAAATCAAAAGCAGGAATTCTTCAACACCTACGAAATGACAATCCAAAACAAATGGCTTGCTGTTGATTCTTTATAGAATACAAAAAAATATCCAGACGTTTTGTTAACACTCTTGGTATAAAGTACTTATATACTTCTTTTCCCACAAACAGTCAAAATAAATTCTGAAAATTAAGATAAAAAGTTTTGGCTACTCTCTACTCGTTCTTGGGGCTTTGTTGTTGTAGTTTGATTTTTTTTTTTAATTTTGTCTTGTTTTATCCTCCCTCTAAACTGTAACCACAGTGTCTGGAGATTCTTTGACTAGAAAGTTAGCTGTGGGGAATGTAGGCTATGGAGAGACCGACTAACCACTGAGCTCCAGCTGTGAACTGAGGTACAGAGAGCAGTCGTAAAGCAGCAATTAGACCCGATTTCACTCGCTAATGTGACCACTGGAGATCAATGTTCTTCCATTCCAACCTAAATTACTAATATTAACTGATATAGATATGAATAACTTGCATTGGTATGGATTTTAAGGTTATGTTAAAGTTAAAGCCTTTCTTTTTTGTTTAAACAGAAAAGGGGGAAATGATGTGGGAGTCTTCTGTTTTGTGTTGATTTCATTGCTTAAATAATGAAACTGCCTTTGCCCTTTAATAGAACATAAAATTAGGTAGGCAGAGTAGACAGACAGAATTCTGGGAGAAAGAAGCCAAGTCAGGCAGTCGCCATGATTCTCCCACTTCAGACAGACGCAGGTTATGATCTTTCCTGGTAAGCCAGCTCATGGTGCTACACAGAATATTAGAAATGGGTTAGATTAATATGTAAGAGCTAGCCAATAAGAGGTTAAAACTAATGGGCCAAGCAGTGTTTAAAAGAATACAGTTTCAGTGTAGTTATTTTGGATAGAGCTAGCTGGTGGCCGGGAGCTAAGCGGTGGGAAGCGGCCCGCAGCTCCATACAACAATTAACTCTCGGATCACACATCCCACTTCCCACAGAGATGCACAGGGTGGCTACAAAAGGGTAGTTTTTGTGGTCCACAGAAATTCTGTGAACTACGGAGCAAACAAGAGCTCCTGAAGGTACAGTGTTATCCAATGCGGTTCCTGATCCAAAAGACCTTTGGAGGGTCCGTTTGAAGTGGGCTGGTCTTTGAGGACAGGACAAACTGTTCTCAAGCTGGAGCCAGGGACTGAGGCAGCAATCCATCACTGTGGCAACGCTCTTGGAAAAGGCTCCCAAGTAGCCAGGTGACAAGTTCTTGTCTCCCCTGACTCAGGGCTAGGGCACTCCTTTTCTAGTTATAAGTGAGAGATTGTGTCTGGTGTGTTAGGTAAAGTCATGGACCTGGATTTTCTGATAGTGTTCATATGTTCTCAATGTACTTACCACCTTGTGTTCATAGAGGGTAGTTTTTGTTGTTGTTGTTTTGTTTTTTTACTTGTGTGAATAAGTTAGCACCTTGTGCCTTGTGGTGCATTCTGAATAGGTGGTGAACATCTATTTGCACAATCAGTGCAAATGAACAGTCACCCTGCGTTTGCACTCCCAAAGCCACTGTCCCACAATATGGAACTTCGGACAGGACAGCCACTTAGAACAGGACATAGCTTCATCTCTGGGCCTTTCTTATTAAGAGAATATGAGATCTGTTTGTAGATATTTTGTCTTCATTATTTCATTACTTCGATGCCACAGTTTCATCTATCCTTTTTATCTTTACCTGAAGAAATACAAATGTCTGGACAAGCACTGGGAAGCCATCCTTTCAAAGTGTTAATTGTAGTTCATCAAACTAACCACATTTCTCAGAAACAAAAGTGAATATGAGGTGAATTGTAGAGACATAACCAAGACTATTTAGACCAAAAGTAAAAGAATTCAAAGTTGCAGAGGTGTTTTGTATTTTATCTATATATTGTTGTGAATATGCACGCACGGCAAAAAAAAAAACTTGTAAATTACATTGTTATTGAATTTGAATTTATGTGATCATTTTTCACTCTGAAACTTCAGTAAATGTTATTGAAATCAGTCTCTTTTATGATTATCACTGCATTAAATTCACCCAACAAATAAGCTATTTGTTTTCATTTAATGCTAAGACGGCTGGCATCATCTTCACTCTAGAAGATTTATTGAGCCTATTTTATTGTTACAATAAGTACATAATTTGTATTGGTTGGTCTATACATGATGAGTAATCATGACAGATAAACAGACAGAAACAGAGGCAGCAGAAAGACACACTAAGAAAGAATAACTTGTTCAGCTTTAAGTGTATATAAGGTTTGATGTCTGAGAACAGAAATACTTTAAGAAACAGGTATTATGGGCCTGGAGAGATGGATCAGTGTTTAATAATAAGAGCATTGGCTGCTCTTGCAAAGGATCCAGGGATCAGTTCCCAACACCCACATGGTGGCTCACAACCATCTGTAAGTCTAGTTTCAGGGGAATCTCTTACCCCATTCTGACCTCCACAGGCTCCTGTGTGCACATGGTGCACATAAACTCACAATCACATACACATAATATTCTCTCTCTCTCTCTCTCTCTCTCTCTCTCTCTGTCTTTCTCTCTCTCTCTCTCTAGGAAAAATATAAATACAATTTGCATTTTAATTGAAAAATATTAAATTTTATTTATATGCTATTTCTTTTATCATCAAACTTCTAGAAACCCTTTTAATTTTATTATAACTTGCAATTTAATTTGACACAAATCATTTATTTTTAATCTTTTTATTATTATTACTATAATTATTATTATTATTATTTTGAACTCAATATGTACCCCAGGTGGGCTGGAACACACAACTGTCCTGCCCCATCTTCCTGGATACCAGAATTATAAATGTGCACCAGCAAGCCTGACCAATTTCTCTCCTTTGGAGAAGGCTGAGTGCCCTAATTTTTAGTCAGTGAAAGTTGCAGTTTAGTCCACATTACCTGCAGACAATGTGAAATCTTCTGAGAGTATGCCCTCAAAAGGCTTGCTGCCAAGCAGCTCTATAAGACCACCTTTGGACTCAAGAAACTCAACCTCTTTTCATAATACCCAACAGGTGTGCGTATTATCCCTTGTTTGCCTTCTGCATGGCCCATTTTTTACACAGAGATTTTAATAGAACGAGTTGTTCTCATATGTTTTTGACTCCAGAATCCTGGATCTGCATCAATAAGCCTTTAATCACCACAGTTAAGGGGATGTAACTTCAAGTGAAGGCAATTTACGGATCTGAGTTTCTTTCCTTTTCTTTTTCTTTGGTAAAAATAAAAATTGCATTATTATAATGAACACACAAACAAAAACACCACACAGCTAGATTAAGGTGCCACTCAAACACTGACTTTATCCCCCCCCCCACACACACACACACTCTCTCTCTTTTTGTTTTTGTTTTGGAGGGATTGAGACCGAGTTTCTCTCTGTCACCTGGGACATCCTGGAACTCACTCTGTAGGCCATTCTGGCCTACAACACAAAGATTCATCTGTCTCTGCCTCCCAGGTGCTCATATTAAAGGCATATTCTACTACCACTGCTTGAATTTCTTAATACTAAAGCAACATTGGATCTCATAGTCAAATACTCAGAGGTTGAGAAGGAGTAAAAGCTCTATCTCGTTCATCCACCTACCCCCTTTACATTTCACTAAAGTTCCTAAGTCCTTTTACAAACTAAGTTGGCCTACTGGTGCTTTGATCAAGCATGTTACAGATATTTTTTTAGTACTGTCAAAGGAAGTAGTGCAAAGTAAGCATAGGTAGAAGAAAGGGAGAAAAGAAATGAAGGGAAATAGTCTGCACTCTGGAAAGGAAGATATACAATATTATCTATTATCTATACGTAAGTTAGTAAGGACTGATGTGTGATTTCCAGTTCAGGGGCAAAACTAGACTTGGGCAGATGGGACACAACATTGCATTTTTTTTTTTTTGCAAAATGTGTTGGGATATTGGGCACATATTTTCCACATGGGATTCTATTCAAGTAATCACTATGTAAAGAGAGGAAGCCAAAAAATTGAATACCTGGATGAAGACCCATACTGAGATATTTGAAGATGTTTTCTTACTTATGAGGTGTCCCAGAAAGGAAAGTTGGGGAATGCCATAGTGTTGGCAGAGGCTGCTCATTCATTTCCCAGCTGCCCAGACCCAAAATAATCATACATAAACTATATTAATTATAAGATTGTTTGGCAGATAGTTTAAGTGTATTTCTAGCTAGTCCTTACATCTTAAATTAACCCATTTCCATTAATCTGTGTATCGCCATGTGGCTGTGGTCTACCAGTAAGTTTCTTTCAGGTCTTCTACGGTGGCTCCATGGCGTCTCTCTGACTCTGTCCTCTTTCTCCCAGCATTCAGTTTAGTTTTCCCACCTAGCTCTATTCTGCCCTTCCATAGGCAAAAGCCTATTTATTCATTAACCAATGATATTCCCAGCATTCAGAGGGGAATCCCACATCACCATACCTTCAATTTGCAGGTTCAACAAAGAATACTTATGGTTCTGAGAAAGTGTTGGCTGGTTATCAGCATCGATACTACAGTAGACCTGACATTCTCATGAATATACTATAGGAATACCCTACCTTCCTTTTCAGTGAGCAAATGCAGTGTGGTGGTAGAGAAAGCATATTGCTCTCCATTCAATTCATAGATGAAGTTTGAGGATTCATGTTCCGCATCTGAATCACATTCTCAGTTCTTATTTTCCCGAAGGAGAAATCATGATGGCTTTGTTGATTTTGTTTGTGTTTAAAGGTGAAACACTTCTGATAAGATATTCTTTTAATTAGATGAGTAATTAGGAAAGACCAGTGATGAGGACTCTAATCACATGACTGTCGTTTCCTTAGGAAGCTCATCGAGACTCACCTGAAGACCATCCCCAGTCTCGCGTTTTCAAACCTGCCCAATATTTCCAGGATGTAAGTAATTACCCTAGTATACAGAGAACTTTGCTGTTGTGACATACTTTCTAAATGGGGTCTGTCGAAAAAGCAATTTCTATTACACTTGCATATATCAGTGACATCTGCCTTTTTAGCATATTTGAAATTTATTTATCTAGTACTTACCTGCTTAGTCACACCTCCATGTTTTGCTTCCTTTAGGACCTTTTAAATCCAATGCAAACTTAAATTCATTTGGTCATGTCATATTCACCACTTATGTGTATTTTAATATATCCTAGGATGTGACAAAAACCTTAGCTAAGAATATTCAGACATTTCTGTGTCACTCTCTCTCTCCTACTCACTCATCCTAGATTTTTGTTGATTCACTTCCACCACTAATACAATGCAAACATTTACATTTTCTCCCAAATGCAGCCAATCATTTGAGATTTCTCTCGCTTAAACATGAATTTAAAACAATTCTAAGCCTGAGAAACAGAAATGTGGTATGAAAACAGATGAGAAAAGCAACTTACATGTTAGACTGATGATTACTGTCTGTGTGTAGATTTGTGACCAACGGTGAGTCACCAATAATTTGTGTCCCATTACGGAAAGAAATAAAAGTACTTTCCTCCTTAAAATCATGTAACCAAAAGCAAGTTTAGATTTGAAACTTCTACTTCATGCTTCCCATGTCTACCATCCTCTGTCTTCCTGTTGATTGAGTCTGAATCTGTGCCTGGTTGAAGGCTGTCTTGATCTGTTCCCGCGTTTTGTCTTCCATCTGTGTGCATCCATGAGTTCTGCTCTGTGGCTGTATGTATCTGTTTGTGTCTCCGTGTCTCTCTCTCTTCCCACAAAGAACTCTGCCCTGTATTTTCTGGACCACATAGAAATCATCCACGGGAAAGGGATGGAACACTTCTCAGAAATTTTGAACAGTGTTTTACAAGGATCAAATCACTAACTCCAACTGATCCCAGCGGACCCAGACAACAAACAGTTCTACAAAACCATTGTTTATCAACAAAAATCCATAAATGGATGCTTTTAACTTTTAAGGAAGGTTTTAGGAAGTTGCTTTCAACTTTGGTATTTACTATTTTCAGCAAATAACACATGTGTTCTTCTGGTTTGGGGCATAGAGAAGTACATGATTTAAGTTTACTACTACGGGTTAGCTTGGGTTGAAAAAGTTGACTACATGGGAAGTCCAAGGTAAGGTAAGGTTGATTGTTACATTGTTCTCTTAAAAGAAGATAAAACAGGTTGAAGACACAGTACCCTAGTGGTTAAAATCTCAAGTGACCTCAAGACGTATTATTACCTTTGGCTGTGGTGTCCAACAAAAATTCCAGTGTCTTAGAATGTAAGAGCCACTTTCGGGATTTCACATTGCCATATTCTGCACATGAGATGAGTGAGGTATTTGTCTTTTTTGGTGGCAGTTCAGGTTAACTCAAACACACCCAATAATACCAGGAGTGACCTGTACAGTGCATAACTCAACTTATTCCACTTCTGGCCATGTGTTGAACATCTGTTGCATCATTTCAATGATTCTCAGCCAGAATGAACTCTGACATTTGACTGTTTGCCAGAATTGCAGAGGAGAATGTTACTGGCCTCTAGAGTATGGAGGTAAAGGATGTGAAAGACATCCTCTCCTGCAGACACATGATATAGACATTTTTTATTCAGTCATCAAGCATTTGTTCCACTTTGGCTATGAACACTTACTAAAATTATATTCAGTTGGGAGGAGACAGATAATGAGTCAAACATAATAAAGTAAATTATATACTGATTCAGACAGAAAGAATGCACACGAGAAGGGGGAAATGCAAGGTATAATAAAGGATATTGGACGTTCTGGGCACGTGCATGGTCAGGGGAGTGATGTAAGTAGAAACTGAGGTTCTTGGAAGTCATAAAAACAGTCTCAAACTGAGTGATGGTGGCACACGCCTTTAATCCCAGTACTGCAGAGGCAGGTGGATCTCTTCGAGTTAGAGGCCAGCCTGGTCTACAAAGCGAGTTCCAGGATAGCCAGCGCTACACAGAAAAATCCTGTCTTTAAAAACAGTCTCAAGTACACGATGAAGATTGTAGAATGGGAGATGCTAAAGGACAAAGCAAGAACAACCTTAGAGCTTGTGGTCCTTGAGGAGGTGGAGGATCGCAGCCAAGCAGAATTAGGGATGTAAGAAAACAGTCCCTTTCTCCACTGTCACAAGAAAGTTATTGGTGGGGAGGGGAGTCCAAAGAATTCCTATCTCCTGCTTCAACGCTTTCTATAAAGTTTGTCTGCTAAGATTGGTGGTGAGCAACCAGAATTCAAAATATTATATAATCAAGAATAGGCAGTAGGAGGAGGGTGGCTGAGAAATAGACAATATTCGTGGAGATTTGAAAGTTTCCTTGCGGCAACCCCCAAGCAGCCCGCACTGGGTTTGCCAGCCTAAGATCTCCTGTACCGTCCAGAGCACTTAATACTTGCTGCACTAATCCCATCTGATAGTTTGAATCTCCTAATTCTGTGGGTTCCTTGAAGCTAAGGAAGAAGTCTGTTTTATCAATTTCCAGAAAGATACTGGTATAAAGTAAATGTTCAACAGATATCTGCTGGATGCATGGGCATACAGTAATAATAGTAAGATATCCCAGGGGAAGCAAGCGGAGATCACCAAGATGACCTAGGTTTGCCCAGGAAATTAAAAATCTCCACCAGTGACTCTGGCAAATGTTTCAACAGGAGAAAAGTACCCTAAATTTTATAAGAGGTTGTATAGTCATCATAGTAATTGAGTAACATTTACATGCAATAAAGAGATGTCTTAGTTTTAAAATGGAACAAAATAGAATCATTGCTTCAGTCCTGGTGAATAAATCATTCCTATATTTAAGCTTATAGCAAGCCCAGAGGTTAGAGAAACCAGAACTTCAGCTCAGTGTGGCGGGCAGAACGAACTTCTCTGAAAATTCAGTAGGAAATGTGGGGTAAAGGCTGTGAAGCAAACACAGGGAAGTAAGTCTCCAGCTTTCAGAATGACTCTTGCCCCACTTTCACCCATGAAAATTTCTCTATGGTCCCTAAACAGTAAACCGATCCTGTAAAAAGTGTTCTGAGATAATGTTCGGATGAAAACAATTTGCATGCTGTTGCTCAGCCACAAAGGACAAAGGGCTGGGAAACCTGATAAGTCAAAGGCTGTTTGTTCATAGAATAAATAATTCTAATCAGCATAGGACTACCAGAATAGCAATGAGCAACCCTGTTTAAAATAAAAAAAAAAGATAACCCTAAGTCTAACAATTACTATCCCTCTTATGAAGAATGTCATTCAATAAAAATTACCAAGGAAGCTTTTGAAAAAATATAAATGCTTGGCCCAGTCTTCATGATCCTGAATCAATGATCCTGGGATGGGTCTTGAACATCTATGTATCCCAGTTGTTCAATTCTAGGTTCAGGGCTGAGAATCTCTGTTACGACTATGCTAATCATTGATTTTCTAAAATGCCATAGAAATGCCTCTCAGTAGATGATGGTCATTGGATCTGTGTGGATTATTCTTGTTGCAAGAGAGATTTAGACAAAACCATCTAAAGCAACCTAGCTTACATACAAATCCACAACTGCTCATGCAATGGAGCTTGTCGTTTTCCCCTCTCTTAGTACCTAAAACGTTTATTTGCATGATATTTTTGCTTAATAATTTCAAGGCAAATCCTGGAACTTTTTAGTTTCATTCAAAATCAGAAAGATAGGTCTTAAGAGATAATGTAGTCTACATGAATAAAATGCATTAGTGATGATCTCTGATTGCCAAAGCATTGTGTCTTATTCAGGAAAGAAATAAAAGCTCTTCACCTTGGAACCATTTACCAAAAGGAGTTCAAATCTGGGTTCTTAACTTCATGTGCTCAATGTCTTACATCCTCTGTCTGTTGTTTGAGTCTTAATCTGGGCCCATCTGCACTGACTGTTGAGTCTGTGTACATATGTGTGTGTGCATGCGTGTATGTGCATGTCTTTGTTTGTGTCTCTGTCTGTTGTGTGTCTGCCTCTCACAAAAGGTTTCACTCTATTGAACAGCGCAGAAGGCATCACATGGGGAGCAATGGGCAACTCTACAAAAATCTTTAACTGAGTTTTACAAGGTATTCTCACTGGCCCCAGCTGATCCCAGCTGATCCAAATAACAAACATTATTTATCAACCAATATCCATGAATGGATACCTTCAACCTTCATGGTAGATTTTAGATTGCTTTCAACTTCTGTATCTGCTACTTTCAACAAATAATACACACGTATTGTTATAGGACAAAGGCAAGGAAAAGCACATAATATTTCTGTTGTTGTATGTTTGGGGTTTTTTGTTTGTTTGTTTTTCAAGGCAGGGTTTCTCTGTGTGATAGCTATGCTATCCTGGAACTCCCTTTGTAGACCAGCCTGGCCTCAAACTCATAGAGATCCACCTGCCTCTGCCTCCCAAGGGCTGGCATTAAAGATGTGTGCCACCACGCCCCGCTATAAAGCACATAATTTAAGGTTCCAGCTATTCATTAGCTTAGGTTGTAAAAGTTAATTACATGGGAAAGCCAAGGCAAGTAAGGTTGGTTGTTCCACTGCTCTCTTCAAAGCAGGCTAAGCAAATAGGCTGAGTACTCAGGAGGCTGGCCATCTTAAGTCTTAAGTGACTTCAAGGTGGGTTGTTAGCTTTGGCTGTGAAGCCCAGCAGAGGTTCCAGTTTCTTAGGAGTTAGGAGACATTTTCAAAATATTGCATCAGCACTGTAGTCACCGCCCTCTGGAATGCTCCACCAGGAGAATGCCCGTTAGTTCCTTGGAAGTTTCACTTCTATCCTCATGCTCTTAAGCCCACTATTAAAATGCTTCTTATTCTCTTTAGTGTTCTTTTGTGACACTTTCTGATTTTGATATTTATTTATGTATTCACTGAGCATGTATTTAGTGAGTCTGCTTAATGCTAAGAACTATGAGGACACTCAATTCGGTGGTCAAAAGCAGACACAAACCTCCACATTAGGTGACTGACAGCTTAGTGGTATGACATAAATCATGTGTGACATAAATCAAATGCTGTCCAAATAATTAGGAAGATGCACTGTGGTTATCCATGAAAGATGAATTCATATTGCTGTAATGATGTATCATGATAATGGTAGCATCTTTGGGAAGCTGGTCAAAAACTCCTGAAGAAAATGACATTTGAGGCCTGCAGAGAAATGAAACATAAAGGATTGGGAAGTTGTAGACATACTGGGATTTGGGGGGAGAGGGAATGTGGTTAGAGACTACATATGGGCTTTGTGCATGGTCCATGATTTGGGAAGGCCCTAACAAAGAAGTTATTAAAACATTGTGTTTGAAATTCAGGTGTAGTGGCACATATTTATAAATCCCAGCATTCTCGAGGTGGAAATGCATGCATATCTGGGGACAACTGGCCAGTCAACCTAGTCTACTTGGGTGTCCCACGCTAATGAGAGACCTCGTCTGTAAAAACAGTGTGGATGGCATTCTGAGTTATGAGAGCCAAAGTTTCCTCAAGTCTACACACACACACACACACCACACACACACACACACACACACACACACACACAAATACACTTGTTTGCCTGTTTACACATGAACACATGCATATATGTACATAAAAATATTGTGCTTATATCACAGATACTTGCACATCCATGGTTACTGTAGCACTTTTCACACTACTGAAATTAGAAAACCAACCTTGGCACTCATCAATAGGAATGGGTAAGAAAATGTGGTTTGCAGACACAATGGAATTTATTTCAGCCATAAAGAATGGGGGGTTAAAGCAACTGAAGACCATGTTGTTAAGTGAATTCAGGCAGTCTCAGAAAGACACATATTGCAAGTGTCCTCTCATTTATGGGTCCTAGGCTTTATAGATACCTAGAGCCACATATATACAGATGGTAGGAAGGTGGAAGCAATTCTGTGCAGGGGGACACAAGGACTAATGAGGAAGGGGTGGAGCAAGAGAAGAGAGAGCAGTGGACTGTGGGGGATATGTTGACAGCACAGTCTATGCGTGCATTGCAATGGCCTGTGTAAGCCAACGTGATAAAATAAAATAGAGTGCTTGGAACCCATTGCTAACTTCCTGCTGTGTCTTATTTCTATAATGCTCAGCTATTTATCTATAGATGCAACTCTGCAGCGGCTGGAGCCACACTCTTTCTACAACCTGAGCAAAATGACTCACATGTAAGTACAACGAAAAGTACCCAGTAGAGCCAGACCACAGCCACCAGTACAAAAGGTCGTTTACATTCATTTATTTTATTTTTGCGGTGTCTGGTGTGTCACAATATGCAAGAGGAGGTCAGAAGACAACCCGCAGAAGTCAGTTCTTCCCTTTCACCAAGTGAGTTTTGGGGATAGAACTCAGGTCATTAGACTGGGTAGCAAGTGACCTTCCAGGCTGAGTCATTTCTCCAAATCCACAAAGAAAGTTCTTGAGAACTTGTCAGCATTAGACTTAAAGTAAAAGAACTGCTCCAGGGAATGATTAGGAAAAAAAAATAAAAGATGACCCAATCCAGCCATATACTCTGTACTGAAGAAAATGAACAGAGGCAGAGGGGGTAAATGTGGAGGGAAATAGAAATAGATTTGACTGCACAGGAAAAAAAAAACAGTGGAATTTAAATAAGGGTAACCTATGCTCTGCATGGTAGCCTGGCACTCTAAAAATAAACAAACTGGAACTGGATGAAGAAACTCAACCATCAATGAGAAAAGTTTGAGTACTTTGTGACATTTAAAATTTTTGTCAAAACATTAAAATTTGTCTTACTGGTGCAAACATAGAAGAAAAGAAAAGATTTAAAAAGATTTAAAAATCTAATATTGTTTGAATGCACAATTTTAGGCATCAAAAATAATTAGAATTACAGTATTGGGGGAGGGGTTGTAAATGCTTCTTAAGAAGTTTAAACTGCCCTTGCCCATTTTTGCCTTTGTTACATGAGTTACAAGAAAGTATCTTTCTAATGTTTTGGAAAATTCTAGGTCTGGATGCTAACAATACTCAATCCTCTTTCTTTCGATATAATAAACTATCTCCAAGGATTTCTTTAATGTGGTTTTGTTTTGTTTTTGATTTTTTTTTTAAAGGAGATTGTTGGAGGTTGGGAAGCTTTACATAGTTGTTATGGTTTGATTTGGTTTAGTTCAGGATTTTGAGACCAAGTCTCCTTCTGTAGCCCAAGCTAGCCTCAAACTTACAACAATCTTCCCACCTCACTCTCCTAAATGTTCAGATTATAGGTATAAAACACCATGCCTTGCTTTGAGGTAGACTGTTGACTGGGGTAGTTTTCTGTCCTGCCTGGTTTCTGTCCTCCCACCAGGTCCCACAGCCATTTAGCCCCAAAGAAATCACACAGAGGTCTATATCAATGATAAACTGATTGATCCATTAGTAGAGAAGGGGTGGCTGAAACAGGGTTTCACTATATAATCCTGGCTGGTCAAGAACTGTGTGCTACAGGCTGGTCTTGAATATGTGTTCCTCCCACATCGGCCTCCATGTGCTAGGATTATAGCCGCATACCACAACTGGGCCCTGGCTTTTTATTCATTTCAAATACATCAATTCACTCTTTCATCTAACTCATGTCAAACGGATCTCTTACTAAGAAGCTCATAGGCAACACACTGTGTTCTTTATCGTCTGTGAGTAAAGTGAATTACGATGACAATTACCAGTGACTGAAAGAGTAATGAGATTGGTCACCTACTATGAGTCCCATCTGTTAGCCACCCAGTGATATGTGTGGTAAAGATCTGGCAGTAACGCTTGTAACTGGATTCTCTTATTCAGCTAGACTCCAGTAATAACCACATTTGAAACTGTTACTAAGGCTAATTGCTTGACTAGAACACAAAATTCACACCCGTGGTTCAATTAATTTTTTGGAAACTTGGTTTCCAAACGTGGTTCAATAATTCACAGGTCTGTGGTTCAATAATTTTTTGGAAACTTGCAGAATTGATTATCATAACAATCCGGTTTTAGAACACACATTACTATCAATGACAAAAGCATCATTGTGGATATTTGTAGTTTATCTCAACCTTCTCTTTTCTGCCAGATCTCCCCCTCCCCTCTCCTCCCCTTCCCTCTCTTCTCTCCTCTCCTCTCCTCCTTTCCCCTCCCCTCTCCTCCCCTTCCCTCTCTTCTCTCCTCTCCTCTCCTCCTTTCTCCTCCCCTCTCCCCTCCTCTTCTCTCTTCCCCTCTCCTCTCTTTACCTTTCTTTCTCTCTCCTCCCCTAGCCTCCCCTCCCCCTCCTCTTACCTCCTCTCTTTTCCTCTCCTTTCCTCTCTCCCCCTCTCCTCTCTTCTCCCCTCCTCCCTTCCCCCCCCCCCCCCATCCCTTCCTTAGGGCTAGGGATCAAACCCGAGTCTCTATGGCTGCTAAGTACTTGCTATGTCTCAGATCCTGCTCTAAAATATTGCTACAACTTTGTCTTACATGGACCTTTCCTATTAATGGATGCATATAGTAAGTGGCCTTTTTGTGTTTTACTTCTTTCAGTTAGCTTGATGCCTGTGAGATGCGGCTCATCTCCTTTATAGCACAGATCTGTAGTTTGTTCCTTTTATTGCTGAATAGCCAGGCTTGCTGTAGACTCTTGACTCTGTCACCTCTGGCCACATAACTTTGGATAAGGTCCCTGGAGTCATAGTTTCCTCATCTATAAATCCAGACAATAATAGCACTTCCTCCTTCTACAGGCTCTCATGAGGTACTGGATGTATCCTACAGCCGAAAGCTTCCCACAAATAATTATCCTAGAACAAAGACGCTTAAGTATTACAATGATCAGATTCCAAGCTTTCCAAATAATAGCATGGATGACTGGACACAGTACTCTCGGTGGCCAAGCCTCAGGGGACATCTGCAGAACAAAAGACTACAGACCTCAGTGGGTTCTCACTGACTTTCCTTGTAAGCACAGAGAGTGCTATGAACCTCTTCTAGCCAATCTAGGTGTGCCAAATTTTTAATTTTACTAGTTACGGCCCAGGTTTAACAGTTGTTATGACACTTATGTTAACTATTCCTGATGAGTGAATGCATGAACCTAATTATATAAGTTACAAACTCATATGATATCACAACATATCACATATGCTGAGTCTTAAATTATTGGCATCACAAAATAAACCCAAGCAAGCTGCTTAGGCTTCCTCTGTCCCTTTCACCTGAAACTGCAGTCAACAGACTCTTGGCCCTTTCTGCAATGCTGTCATTTGACACTTCACTTACCCCTCTAGTGCTCATCATCATGGCAGCATCACTGGCTCCTGTCACTATAAAGACGCCTGTGCTCATCAGTTTGTCAAACCACTAGAGGAGTTTTCTTTTCTACCAAAATCTAGGGAAAAAAAGCAAGGAAAATAAGAAACACAAACAACAGACAAACAAAGCTTTGAAACTACAGTTAAGAGAAAGGTGGTCCATAAATTCAAACTGACTGAGACCAAGTCCATGAGGAAAATCATGTCCAGGGGAGGAGCTAGGAATCAGTGGCTAAGGACATAGAGTTTCTGTCTTGCCATATAAATGTATCCTCATCTTTTCATGAACTTTTGTTAAACTTGATTTATCTTTAGTAAAAACTGGAAGGGCTGTATTTTGCTGACAGCACTCTCGTTAACTCTTGCAGAGAAATCCGCAACACCAGAAGCTTAACTTACATAGACCCTGATGCTCTAACAGAGCTGCCCTTGCTCAAATTCCTGTAAGTATTGACTCCTTCCTTGTTGGTGTGTGTGTGTGTGTGTGTGTGTGTGTGTGTGTTTTAGAGTTCTGATGCTGTTGTCTATCAAGAATCTCCTTAAGATGATATTGTCTAACATCATTTTAATGGTGTATGGCAAAATCAGATCGTTTCTTATGACTTTTCACCTTTCCCATTGGGCAAAGTGCCACATGAAACAGCTCACGTTTAAAGCCTACCCCAAAAAGTCAGCATATAGTTCTGGGACCAAAGAGCTGCTCCCAGAGCGAAGAGGAAGGAGACAGTAAAATATATACATGGTCTTATCCTGATAGCCAACTTGTCAATAATGTTTAGAAACAACAATTTTATATTTATTAACAAAAACAATATCAGAAATTTCAAAAGGCAAAGTCTCAATACAGAAGTGATACACTTCTACTTGGCTTTGGCAATGACTTATGAGCTGGCCATAAACTCCACCAGAGCAGGGGGCATATTGGTTCTATTTCATCCTTGCTGCCTATCACACAGTAGGTAGTCCAGGGAAATGTCTTGAATGGATGTGAATATTTGACCCAAAGCCCTTTACACACCAGCTGGAGGAGCCTTCTTTCCTGTTTAAATACAATTTTTAAAATTAGAAAAGCAACAGTATAATGAGAATAAAAATCAATCTTCAACCCTGTGCCTTGAAATAATCACTATTAACATGTAGTTTATTTACATCCAGACTTTTAAAATAAAAGTATATCTCACCGACATTTTAAGGCTGGATAGAAGTTATTCAAGAACTGCAGAGACATTATGTCAGAAGGAGCCTTAACTGGATAGGGTACCATGATAAAGACAGAAGCATGAAGCCACATGGCCCACTTGGGAGAACTAGAAACAGCCCCATGTCCAAGGGGTGGGAGTGGGAAATTCCATGTCTAATGGTGTGTGCGATTCAAAGGCTTCTTGTAGGACAAGGCAGTCAATCCTTTTATGGACTTGCTTTCAACTCAGTGGATGGTCAATCAAGTAATTAAGGAGGAGATCAAAGAAGAAAAGGACTCATTTAGTGGGTTTAGAGAGTAGAGAGGTCAAGGTTCCAGTCTCATTAATCCAACATTTATGGTCTCCACTGGACTCTCTGGCCTTTTTGTCCTACTCTTTGTCATGAACCCCAATCATGGCTGAACTGCTGCTATGTTTCGTAGACACCCATGGAACATCACTTCTCTCCTTCTGGATCATCCCCTTTATTCCTTTTTGAGTTCTCTGGCTCCTGCTGCCTCTTCAGTCCAATGTCTTTCCCTTTAGAAGGAGTCAAGACTGAATGGCCTTTGAACATGTCTCAGGGAAACATGAGTTGTTTCACACTAGAAGAGCTAGGTCGGGTCAAAGTCTCCCCTGCTCTGTACCAAGCCTTTCCAAACGTACTTTGTTTCCACTTCTATGGTCTTGTAGCTGAGGAATTAAATCCTGGAGGCATTCGGAGCCTCAAACTTTTGTGTTCGTGTTCTGTTTCACACATCTTTTAACCTTGACATACTCTTTCCTTGATGGCATGAATTTTGGAAGGAGAAGCTATCGTCTTTCAGATTTTCCTTTTTTTCTGCAAGTGTTGGTTAAAGACTGCTGTATACCCACAGGGTTGTTACTACAAAAAAGGAATTCTTAGCAAAATAATAATGCAGTAGGATGCAGATTTGGGGGTTATGGAAGGGACAGGGCCTCTCTGCTTAGTTCTGGCTGTCCTGGAATTCACTATGTAGACCAGGCTGGCCTCAAATTTATAGGGATTTTTCTGCCTCTTGAGTGCTGGGATTAATGGCACAAACCGCCATGCCACAATGTAAATCTGACAACAGGAAAGCTGACTTGGAGCTGGATAGTCATGTGTTCTTCTTCCACTGGACTTTGACAGCCCATCCCCCAACATACACATAACATGCGTGTACACCACACAGACACATACAGACGCACACACAGAGAGAGACACACATACAAAGATACATGCCACTTGCGCAAGCACATATGTCTTCCAATTAAAACAGGGAAATATCCACTCCCCCACCTCCTCTCCTCTCCCTTGTCTCTTCCTCTATTTCTAGGCATCTCACTGGGCTCAAATAATCCACATTTAATTCTAAGCAGGCCATCGATATCACTACTATTGACCAAATTAAATTATGCTTTGAAGAAATATCATCTCATGTCAGGGTTGGCACTTGCCACAGTCATGAGGTATTGGGTGGAGGACTTGGGATTTACCTCCTAGTCTCATGATTTCGGCCATTACACTATACTTCTTAGGTATTGATTTTCTTACCTAAACTTTCATTTCTTCTTTTTTAATATAGTGGCATTTTCAACACTGGACTCAGAATATTCCCTGACCTGACCAAAATTTATTCCACGGATGTATTCTTTATACTGTAAGTAAGCTCAACATGCAGTATTTGGTAAGAATTGGGGTGCAGTCATAGGAAGTAGTAGAAGCCAGGAAAAGCAATGGACTCCAAGAGAAAGCAGTAAGCAGGGTAACTGTGCTGAAGGATGGAGCGAGGCACAAGTAAGGAACGGCCAGAGTTCACAAGCTGTGGGCCACTGCTGATTCACACAACATCAGCTTGTATAGGATGGTGGTGGTAGGAAGCTGGATTGGAACGGGTGTGGACTGGCTAGTTTCATGTCCACTTGACACAAGCTAACGTCATCTGAGAAAAGGGAACCTCCATTAAGAAAATGCCTCCATAAAGTCAGGTGGAATGTGGATGTGGGATGCCCCTCTGTAGGTATCTGTAGGCTGTGAATATGTTTTATTACCATTGATTAATAAAGAAGCTGCTTTGGCCTATGAAAGGCCAAAATAAAGCCAGGTTGGAAATCCAGAGATAGAGAGAGAGAAAGTAGGTGGAGCCAGGGAGATGCCACAAAGCTCCTAAAGGAGACAGATGCCGGAACACCAAGACCAATAGGCCACACCCTGTGGTAATACATAGATTAATAGAAATGGGTTAATTTAAGATGTAAGAGCTACCTAGAAATATGCCTAAGACATTAGCCTAACAGTGTTGTAATTAATATAGTTTCTGTGTGATTATTTGGGTCTGGGTGGCCAGGAGATGAATGAGCAGTCTCTGTTTACAGTAGGCAGGCCTGTAAAGCATTTTTAAATTAGTGATTGATGGGGAAGGGCCCAGCCCATTGTGGGCAGGGCCATCTCTGGGCTGTGGTCTTGGGTTCTATAAGAAAGCAGGCTGAACAAGCCAAGAGGACAGTAAGCAGTATTCCACCATGGTCTCAGCTCAGCTCCTGCCTCCAGGTTCCTGCCATGCTGGAGTTCCTGTCCTGACTTCTTTTGATGACGAACTGTGACATGGAAGCACAGACTGAATAAATCCTTTCCTCCCCAAGTTTCTTTGGTCATGGTGTTTCATGACAACACTAGTAACCAAGACAGGGTTCAAAAGAGAATTTTGGGAGAGAATTTTAGAGAGAGAAGAAAGCCAACTCTTCAGGTTTACTCTTGTTTTAATTTCATTTCTGTTGTCAAAAGACAACAGTGGTGAGGGGGCTGGAAAAATGGATCAGAGGTTGAGAGCTCACTCTTGTGGAGGACCCGGGTTCTGTTCTCAGCAGCCATGTGGCAGCTCACAACGGTTCGTAACTCCCTTTCCAGGGCATCCTACACTTTTTTCTGATCTCCATGGGCATGAAGCATACATACTGGGGAGGGAATGATTTAATTGGCTACAATTTCAAGTTACTGGCCATCATTTCAGGGAAGCCAAAGTAGGCAGTCAATCAGCTGGTCCCGTCACACCCATTGTCAAGAGCTAAGTGACAGCAAACATATCCATGATTCCTTGCAACTCCGTGGGCTTCCTCCACTCACATAAGATTCTGAGTTCAGCCCATGAAATGGTGCCAACCACATTCAGGGAGGGTCTACCCACTGCACTTAGGTAGAATAATTTCTAGCCTGTTTTATTTCATGTTTTACACTTATTTAATATGTATGTATCTTATGTGGAATGTGGAGGTTAGAAGACAACACGCAGGAGTTGGTTCTCAGAACCACACTTAGGTTGTCAACCTTTACCCACAGAGCTGTCTCAAGACTCCCCCACCCACATTTAATTTTTAAATGGGAAAAATGATCAAATGATTTCCGAGGGGAATGGCCAAATGGGGAAGGGGGCTACTGATAACAGTGATACTTCATTTTTCATATTTTCTGATAGCTTTTTCTATACTTGCTTCACTCAAAATATAAAGGGAAGTTTTGTTTCAATGAATAGTGAAACAAAGGACTAGAAAAATCCAAATGAGTATGTGATCTGATGTCACAGAGCAATCAGGGTATGCTTTTGATTGACTGATGTTTTTGTTTATATTTTTGTTTTCCAAAAGCAGTGGCATAGACCAGCTGTCTTACCTAATCATGCAAATGAAAAAGTATGTATGCAGGAAAATTGCAAAGGTTGAGTTTGCGCTGCAGTCAGCAAAGTATAGAATGATTCTCCTCTCTCTCTTTTCTCTTCTCTCTTCTCTTTCTTCTCTCTCTCTCCTCTCTCTTTTCTCTTCTCTCTTCTCTTTCTTCTCTCTCTCTCCTCTCTCTTCTCTCTCCTTTCTCTGTCTCTCTCTCTCTATCTCTCTCTGTCTCTCTCTCAGTTTTCCTTTGAGACCAAGTTTCTCTGTGTAGCACTGGCTGTCCTAGAACTCACTGTGTAGACCAGACTCGCCTCTAACTCAAAGATCTGCTTGCCTCTGCCTCCCAAGGACTGGGATTAAAGATGTGTGCCACCGCCTGGCATGCTGCACACTCTTAATTTTTTTCTAGGAAAAAAAATGAGCATGTTTCTTTGCTACAGCTAAACTCTGTTTAAACATAAGCAGCCCTCTAGGAACACCTGCCTGGCAGCATTTTGCAAATAGACTTTCTAATGATCCTCATGAAATCCATTGATCCTTTTCCTTTCCCCTTATCCCTATATTGACAGAGAAAATTCTAGTTGCTATGGACATTGTGATACAGATTCAGAAGTCTCTGAGCTCCATCTGCTCTGAGATAAGGAGTAAGGCAGAGACCTCAGCTCACACTGGAGCTTGTTTGCCTGATGCAGACTGGACTGCGAATGTGTATCCACCTAGAGCAGCTCTCGTTACCTCAAATGGCCACCAGCGCTTAGAAGCAGGTCAAAGAAACAGCAAAAGCTGAGCTATCTTCCGGCCAGTCCTTTGAAGTGCACACATGCACCAAGAACCCATTTCCAGCATTCTTCTCTCAATTGCTTTCATCGTTTTCTCTTGCAGGGAAATCACAGACAACCCTTACATGACTTCGGTCCCTGAAAATGCATTTCAGGGACTGTGCAACGAAACCTTGACCCTGTGAGTATTCCCGGTTTCACTCTTGCCGGCACCTGACTTTTATCTGAGGCTATTGCCGTGGTTTTTCTGGCCAAAACTGTGTCGGAGTTTTACAGAAGCATGCCACCTTATAATGTGTACTCTATCTGGAAGGGTTTCACACAGATGAGTGCTGCCTTGTGGTGTGATATTCGGCACACCTCAAACAGATTGCGGTAATGAGAACTGCGTATTCTCTGTGGCAGGGGTTGGTCATTTGTTCCAAGAAGGGCCAGGTAGGCTGTAGACATTGCCTCGGAGCAACTGCCACTGCAAAGCAAAGGCAGCCAAACACATCCATAAGTCAGGGGGCAAGTCTGCGTCCCATTTAAGTCCCTTTATAGAAACAGAATGTGGATAGGATTTGGCCTGTCGGCTTTATGGTACATCATCCCGTATCCAAATGGCCCCGTTCTATCCAGGAAGAAACACCATGGAGTAAATGTGACTTTCAGAGTCACTGACAAGCGAGTGGTGCCACGGGGGGCTTTTCATGTTCTGTAATTGCACTTTTGCTCGGAGATCACAAGCTATAACACAGCTCCTGTAACTGCTTGTTCAGTAGAAAACACAGTGCTATTGTTCAGAAGTCATGACCTGCTCTTTGGTTCTTCAAAAGTAGATGCTGAAGGATGGGGATTGTTGTTCTGTCCGTGTAGTGTTGGCCTGGCCTGAGTTGGTCAATTATCTTTCCAGATGATATTTCTTTAAAATAATATTGTTATAAAAGCCCTTTCTTGCGCACGCCTTTAATCCCAGCACTCGGGAGGCAGAGGCAGGCGGATCTCTCTGGGAGTTCGAGGCCAGCCTGGTCTAAAAGAGCTAGTTCCAGGACAGGAACCAAAAGCTACGGAGAAACCCTGTCTCGAAAATCCAAAAAAAAAAAAAAAAAAAAAAAAAGCCCTTTCTTCTGTTAAGGTCAATCAGATTCAAAACTTTAAATGTGCAAGGAAAATGCCCAACAGCAGAGTGGGCGCCTCTTCCCTTCTCTGCCATTTGCATTTCTCTGGACCTATTCCTCCATGAAGTTTTATTTAGTCTCTAACCATAACTCAAACCAAGAAAACTTTTTAGTGTGTATGTACACGTGTGTGTGCATGTGTGTGCATGTATGTGTGTGGTGTTTGTGCTTGTCCGTGTAGAAATATGCACATATGCATGCAGATATATGCATGGATTGTAGAGGCTTACAGATGGGCATTGCTTTTCCTCGATCCTTCTCCACTCATATTCTTGGGGCCAGGGTCTCTGGCTGACCCTGAAGCTCATCGATTTGGCTAGGCTGGCTGCCCAGTGAACTTGAAGCATCCACCCATGTACACCCCACCCCCAGGACAAGGGTTCCAGGCACATGTTACTATGCTTGATGTTTTAAGTAGGTTCTAGGAATCTAAATTCAAGTCTTGTGCTTGCGTGGCTGGCATTTTACTGGCTGACCCATCTCTCCTGCCCATCAAGAACAAATTTGGAGAAAATGAAAAAGTGCATATTTTTCCACATATTTGTAAGAGTTGCAGTTCAGGAGAAGAGGACTTATCCACCAACACCAACATTTTTTATTCTCTGGACCTGAGTCCCTGGAAAATGGATTGCAGTCCACACTTATAATCCTTTAGGAACTACAAGTAAACTCAGCTGTTTAAAAAATATCTGCAAACAACAACAAAACCATGAGATCATTCCCCAGTTTCTCACAGCTATCTAGAATGGATTCAAAATTTAGCGTTCTCCTTTAACATGGTCATCTTTTAGCATTCATCGTTATTAGATATAGTGACTGGGTCTCCCGAGCAACCTGTAATGAGACATTAGCATCGTATTTCTAGAGATTAAAAAACAAGATAGAGGAGGATGTGAGAGTCTCAGGATCACCCAGCTACTGAGTGGCAGAGCCAGGCCTGGTTGTAAACTTGGAGACTCCCCTGTAGTTATTGTCCTATCAAGTCCATATGTAGTAGATTAAATTATTGTTGAAATTCACCCCACCTGTCCTGAGGAATTCCTGGGGCCTGCTGCTTCATTGTGCCAATAACTACCAATAGCCATGAGTGCCACACAGCTTGGAGTCCCAAAGACTCGGTTCCCTTCTCCTGCAGAGGTGTGTTTTTGGTAGATGAGAAAATTTGAGGTCAAGGATCCAGAACCCTAACAAGTTTAGACTAACAAGTTCTTGGCAAGCCACTCCCATATCCTCCGTAACTTCACCAGGAAGCAGGGGTGGTAATATTTTGAGGATGGCTCCTGGAAATCAAGGTAAAATTTAATAGATATTAAAACATTCAAAAAAATTGCCACAAAGGGGCATGGTCTCTCTACTTTTTAAAATTCATCTATGAGTATAATCATTAAGTATTTGCTTTATGGTTAAACAATAAAGACAAGTAGATGTTTTAAGAGAGAGACAGAGATGGGGACAAAATGGCAATCTATGCGTTCAGATGGGTGTCTTCTTATCTGGTTCTCTTAAAGTGTTGTAACTCCTCCAATGTTGGCATGAGCTTAAATGTCATCTGAAACTCCCTTCCCTTTAACATGTACACATCTTTTAAAAGAGTCTATGGGCTGGAGAGATGGCTCGGCAGTTAACAGTGCCTACCTATCTTGCAGAGGACCTGAGTTAGATTCCCAGCGTACACATAGGACAGCTCACAGCTGCCTATAACTCAGCTCCAGGAGATCCAGTGCCCTCCCTGTTCTACCTGGACATCTGCACCCACATGCATGTGCATGCGCATGTGTGTGCATACACACACACACATACCAAAAAAATAGCTTCTGCAGAAAGGCTGACTCACGGGCCCCTAAGTCCGGAGAATTAGGTTTCAAATTTGGAAACATCTTATGTCCCAAACAAGGCATACTATAAGGGATTTTGTCTTGAGGAATGCATATGGATGACGAGTGAAATTTTATGCACATTTCTGATACTAAAGAGATGAAGACCAACTATTTTAAAAAGGACAACATATATCCCACAGGTCATCAATTTTATTTACTTATTTACTCATTTTGGGGGATCCCGTGGCCCTGAGCCTTACATGTGCTAGGCGAGTACTCTACCACCGAGCTGCATGGCCACTGACTTTTCTCTCTCCCTCTTTCTCTTGATTTTAGGAAACTATACAACAATGGATTTACTTCAGTTCAAGGACATGCTTTTAATGGGACAAAGCTGGATGCTGTGTAAGTTTAGGGTAACCATGGAAACTGCCACCATTCCCGACATCGCATCCCTAGAAGGACCATCCAGAGAGTCTGAATTCTGTTGGGATCTATTTTAAGTATCTCAGGTCTTGAAAGTGATACTAAAGGAACTTGACATGGGCCATCAGAAGTGGACACAGTGTTGGCCCCAGTTCTAAATCCCAAAGCTCTCATCCTCAATAAAGTGAAGACATATACTGTCATCATCAGTTGTCTTATAGGGACACAGGTATGTTCGTGTGTGTGTGTGTGTGTGTGTGTGTGTGTGTGTGTGTGCCTTTGTGGTACTATGTGCATCTGACACTGATGATAATGTTTGAGAATCAGATCCTACCCTCCATCTTGTTGAGCTAGGATCTCTCCTGCTGTCTCCTTCCCTTGCTCAGTCTACTCTACCCTAGCTAGTGGTCCACAAGCTTCAGGTAGATTCTTGTATCTCTACTTCTGATCCCACCATAAAAATGCTGGGATAACAGAGTTGCACTACCACTCCAGTAAAAGCCTTTACTTGGGTTCCAGAAATCAAACTCAGGTAGTCAAGCTTATATGGGAAGTGCTCTTAGCCTGGGCCATCTCTCTAGACCCTCACTCTATACTTTTAGCACAGTTCCATCTTGACTGTGTTTTCAAACTAAGGAAAACATATTAATAATTCTTCTGTAATAATTACCCTTGCAGGGTTCAAAGATTAAAATAGCGTGATCTCTCTAGAACTGTGTTTACATATCTCTAGGTTCTAGTTGAAAGAATTTGTTATCCAAAACAGCAATCATCCCCTTCATGCTGATGTTCTGAAGTTATCGGGTCTGACCTCAATTACACTCTTTGTTTTAGCCTGGCTGAGTAGTGTTATTGCAGCCAGACTGGACCCATCCCACACTGCAGACAAGCATTGAAGCCAAGCAGCAGTTCTGGTGTTAGTTAGGGGGTTCTGAAAATCCTGGCAAGTGGGTAAAAGCTGTCGCTCCGTGGTTTCGCTGCGAGCCAAGCACATTGTCATCACTCAGGTGGCAGATCGTTGAATACGAGTGTCCTTGCTCAAGAGAAGTTGAGCTGCTCTCAATCATAAGTTCAGTCCCGTGTTCTTTCTCTGGACCTCTCTGCTCTCTCTTTATCCAGTCTTCTAGAACCGAGTGGCGTCTCACACAGTGTCTGATTCCCTGAGATGAATTCTCTATTGTTGGATTCTAGTTTCTAGGTTTCTACCTAACAGTAAACATTCAGACCCAAAATAAATACAACTTGGATGTGTTAAGGACTTACCAAGACAGTCATCGTTATGAGCAGAGAAGTCAGCACAAACAATGTGCTAATTAGCATCACACATGAGCTGATTAGAAGTAATTCAGCACAGCCTGGAGCCACTAGGGAAAGATGACAGTAGAGAAGATTATAGGATTAAGCAGGCTGCTATTTCTCACGGGGTAAGTATTTGAACAGCTTGTAGGATATGCTCCAAGGTTGGCGGCCTTCTGCAGTCTTGAACACTTTCTCACCTGTTACTGTCGATAAACAAGTGTCTCCATCTCTCAACCATCAAGATTTCCATGGGGCAACCCAGCTTCCATTTAGACTAATGTAAGAGCGAGGCGGTGGATCCCTATCAGTTTTTGAATAACAAGAGCTGTGTGGAAAAACAAAACAACAACAACAAAAAAAAAAAAAAAACATAAAAACCACGGTTCCCCATGTAAAGTACTCCCATGTGAATGTCACAGCCTAGCCAGAAGCCAACCCCACTTTCCCCTAAAGGAATTATGCAGGAATGAGCTGAAATTCGATCTTGGAACTGAAATGGATCCTTAAATTCCTCAGAGAACAAAACCCAGGAGCAACAGCAAATTTACTCTGTGCATCACACACCTCTCTGGGACACTGACTACTTCTGTCGCTGGGCAGAACCTGTCCTATCTGTGAGTTACCCAGAAACTGAGCTTTCATTTCTTGTCAAACAAGTCTTCACTGAATGGCTGCTGCGTGTCAAGAAGGAATCCAAGAGCTGGAAGGATGGCTCCGTGCTTAAGAGCGCCGACTGTTCTTGCCGAGGACTCAGGTTCAATTCCCAGCATCTATGTAGAATCTCACAACTGTCTACAATGCCAGGTCCAGGGAATCCGAAGACCTCTCTTGACCTCTGCACGCATCTACATGTGCATGGTACACAGACAAACGCGCAGGAAAAACACTCACACATATAAAATAAAAATAAGTCTCACAAAAGAAACTTTTCAAAAAATGAGTCCAAGCTGGGTGGTGGCGGCACACACCTTTAATCCCAGCACTGGGGAGGCAGAGGCAGGCGGATCTCTGAGTTTAAGGCCAACCTGGTCAACATAGTGAGTTCCAGGACAGTCAGAGATAGACGGAGAAACATTGTCTTGAAAAAGAAAAGGTGAGTTCAAGAAACTAAGCACACACACACACACACACACACACCTCACAGTACTGAGGCTGCCAATTAAATGTTTTTCCCCAGCTCATCGCTGTCTTCATTTTCCCGGCCCTACTGTTCAAAGTAAAGATTCTCAAGTCCTGAAATATGGAAAATTTGACAACTGTTTTCGAGGACAAGCTTAATTTCTTCACCAGCATCAAAAAGGCAGAACCCATGAAAATAATAAAGCATCGTTATCCAGGCAGAGATGGCAGCATCTTTTTCACTTTGGAAGGAACTATTGGAGCTTTTCTGGAAGCCTATCCCAGTACTCACATTAGCAATCTGACTTTTAGGAAATCTCTCCTTTCATCACTTCTTCAAGTCCTCCCAAACTTTTGGACCTTCTTTGCCTTCATCTTCTATTACCATTCGCACAAAAAGAGTCATTGTCTAGAATAGGTTCCCATCTGGCTTACCAAGATTTGTGACTGATTTAGCCAAGTCAGTGTACACAGCACAGACTCGGGATAAATCGTGATCAAGGAACCAGGTTGCAGAGAATGGCATTCCCAGACAGCAGCATGTGGCTAAAGAGGTTAGTGAAAGTTCTTCCTTTCTCTATGCTAATGTTTCTGGGTCTGTAATTCCTCACCATTAGCTTCTGCTGGAAGGAGAAATCAGAACCCAAGATTCAAAGCTAAGAGAGGCAGCCCCAAAAACGACCAGAGACTCTCAAGATGTGGGAATAAGAGGCTCACGAGTCCAAAGTCAGCCTGGGCTTCATACTGAGACCCTGGCTCAAGAAACCAACAGACTGAACAAGGAAGAGAGGCACATGCATTGTTATCACTCGATCATTTTCAGAGGGCAAGCAGCCAAACAACCATGCGTACTGTCCTTTAAGAACGGGGCCTCCATCAGGCTGGCTCATCTCCATTCACATTGGCTGTGCCTCCTGCTGTGCTCTTTCTTCCATTCTGGACTCTGGCTGCCTTCTCCAGTTTGAAGCCTCCCGCAACATTTCTGGTAAAGTGCTCTGCATGTGGACTGATCTCCTGGTCCTCGGGGATGTATTAAGTATCAGACGAAAACGCTACAAAATTGGACAAGTGATAATTTTGTTTTACAGTAATTTCTGATGATTAGAGCAAGCTGATTTTTGCTCTCAATCACTGGGAGTGAAGAGGAGGAGAGAGAGGAGCTCGGCAGAGCTCACTTGATTTGGCACAGCCTGGGAACTACATGTGACCTATAGTTACACTGGCCCAAGAATAAAGAGTTACAAGCCGCTATGGCCACTAAGCCCATCATAGTCGTTAGGATGTGCTCATCAAGAGCCTCTCTCCAGTTGTTGCTGTTTTCTCCTCAAGGTGGGTCTTACCCACTCTAGCTATAACCAAACAAAAGATCTTCATAAACATAATGGGTTTATGGCAGAATCAGTCTGTGAACACGAGAGTGCTTTGACCCAAGCCTTCTATGGCATTAACCCATTGGGAATGCCTACCAATGCTTTGGCATCTTACTCAGGAATCCGAACATATAGTGGACTGGTCTTTTCTATGGGAGACTTCAAAACACCCTCTGCTATAGACGTTATCTGGAATGCCCCGCAAGGCCCATGTGTTAAAGTCGACCAATTGTCAGCTTGGTGTTAGCGGGAAACAGTAGAACTTTTAAGATTAGTGGGGGGGCGGAGGGGGGTATTAGGAACATTCCTTTGAAGGGGACACGGTACCAGGTCCTTCTTTTCCTCTGTTACTGGCTTCTCAGAACCTGTAGAGAAAGTAGCTTCCTCTGCCTCATGCCCCTGCTGTGGTGAGCCATGGTACCACAAACCAAGAATACTGCAATCAGCTCCTCCCCATGACTGTGAACAGAAGTAATCCATTTCTCTTCTTACGCTGATTGTTTGTGTCCATTTTGTTATAACCGAGAGCTACCTAACACACGCCATGAGCTGTGTGCTCAGCCACCCCTTAAAGAGGCCTCGGGTGGGCCATTTGTAAACCAGCTGCGTCAGCATTCAGACGTCAGGAGGGTCAATTTCCCCAAGGCCACCATATCATATGCTGTCTTCTTTTATTTTTTTTCCTTATTTTTTTTTTAGACAGTCATATGCGTCACCCTCAAAGTTTAAAAGTATCAATATCACCATATTAAAGAAAAGATATATTTATTTGTTTGTTTGCTCTTTCACGGTTCCCACCCAGTGAGTATTCCTGGAGCCCTGAACTTAGCAGTGGGTACTCAGCAGTAAATACGGCGCAGAATTTCCATTCTGGCTGAAACTGGGTGATCACAGATTCTGATAATGTCAGGAGGAAACAGAGAGCACAGGCAAAAGGCGTGCTACTTTAGACCAATAGTCCCCGACCTCTATTTTAAAAAATAATCGAAAGACTCTAAACTGTATTCAAACATATAAGGCCTCCACTCATTGCCTGTTTAATCCCTTAGCGTGCTCAGAGAGGAGGGTGAGAAAACTCCTCCGCACTGGGGGTCGCTTGCTCTATTTTTATCCACGCGCTCCAGTAAAGACTCAGCTGGACCCAATCAGCTAAAGGGCCCTTTCTTTGTGAATGCTCTGGAGATGGAATTCTGACCGAAAGTCTTCAATTGCTCTACTATTATTAGCCCGCAGCCTTCAGCAATAACCACCCTGCAGCGAGAAACTCGCTGATACAACGCGAGAAGCATTTTCTATAATTAAGCAGACCTCCCAGCCGTCCCCACTGTATGTATCCTGCACCAAGTCACGGTCACTCACTAGTGTAAATTTCCTACGCTATGCTGCAAGTTATTGTAAATGCATAAATTGGGGTCATTTATGTCAAAGACGGATGTACTTTATTTCATTTTAGATGATTTTCCTCTCTAAAAAAGCTGTGCGGGGGAGGGAAGGACCAATTTCTAAATCCTTGGATGCTTTTGTTCACTTGGAGGAAATCTTATTTCAAAAGCACTCTGCAACTTAAATTGCCTAGGAAATATTATCCTTTCAAATGGCTAATGCATTATAAAAACGGAAAGATCAACACATTTTTCACAAAAGGTATAGCAATCTTACTTATACAAATATCCCTACACCAAAACTGGTGTTGTTGGATAAAATGCATGCCATTCAATTAACTTTGAATTTCAAATAAGCAACAGATAAATTTGCATGGGAAATATTTACTCTTGAAAATTATTCACTGCTTATCAGTGATTCGAATTAAACTGACATCATGTGTTTTAATTTGTTAAATCTGGCAACTCTGCTTTAAAAAAAAAGAACTGAGCCTCGCACCATTTTTGCCACCTCCCACCACCCTACCATCTCCATCCCACCTCTTAACTAAGTTCTAGCTTCAAAGCTATATGGGAGTAATGGTCAATTTTGAAAAGCAAACTTTGAGTCAAAGTAGAAAAAAAAAATGATTGCCAGGATATAGGAAATTTGGGCAACTTTGATAAAATGTAGATATGCAAACTAGGCCCAAAACATGATTAATTTTCAAATTCCTGCCACAATAAAACCTTGCATTCCTGACACACAGATTGGTGCTTAAGCCAAGAGAATATAAAGTGACTTTGAAATTGATGTGACCTTGGTTACAGTGTATTTTGATATTTGTTCTGTTGTGTGATGGCTAATTTTGCGTAATTCATATTCTCTCTCCCTCTCCCTCTCCTTCCTCCCCGCCCCCTCCCCTGTCTAGTTATCTAAACAAGAATAAGTTCCTGACAGCTATTGACAAAGATGCCTTTGGAGGAGTATACAGCGGACCAACCTTGCTGTGAGTAGCACAAATGAATGGCTGGTAGCTTTTTAGTAGTTTTCTCTTTTATTTTTCTGGAATGAAAGAGGTGTGAAGAGAGGCAATGTCAACTGTCTTAGTTAGGATTTCTATTGCTATGACAGAAGAGGCACCACAGCAACTATTACAAAAGAAAACATTTCATGGGAAGCTGGCTTAAAATTCAGAGGTTTAGTCCATTATCACCGGGGAGGCAAGCATGGTGAGTATAGACAGACATGGTGATAAAGAGGTCCCTGAGAGTTCTATATCTGGATCTGAGAGCTGGAGAGAGGGAGAGAGAGAGAGAGAGAGAGAGAGAGAGAGAGAGAGAGAGAGATATCCTGGCTTGAACATCTGAAATCCTCAAAACCCAGCCCCCAGTGACAGGCCCTCTGACTAGGCCACACCTCCCACCTCCCAAGGGCACCACTCCCTATGAGCCTATAGGTGTAGTTTTTATTTTTAATCTTTGCTCTTCGGGGGCCCGGCACCCAGCTTCCAAACAAACACATAGAGACTTATTCTTTCTTACAAGTGCCTGGCCTTAGCTTGGCTTTTTCTTGCCAGGTTTTCTAACTTAATTATCCTGTTTCTCTTTAACTACATTTGCCTCTGGGCTTTTTAACCTTTCTTTATTCTATATGTCTTTTTTCCCTTCTTATTCTGTGGCTGGCTGTGTGGCTGGGTGGCTGGCCCTGGGCATCTGCCTCTCCTTCTCCTTTTCCTCTCTCGAACCTCAATTTCTCCTATTTATTCTCTCTGCTGCCAGCTCTGCTTAGCCCAATCCTGCCTGGCTATTGGCCGCTCAGGTCTTCATTACACCAATCAGGTGTTAAAACAGACAGGCAAAGTTACACAGCTTTACAGTTAAACAAAGCAACATAAAAGAACGCCACACATATTTGCATCGCTATCAAATATTCCACAAGACATACAAATGTAACACATTCCACATCATATAGGGGCCGTTCTCATTCCGACCACCACACCAACATTCAAGACAAGAGAAAGCTGCTATCTTTGGGTAAGGCTTTTGCCACTATTCCCCACTTGACTGTATAGATTACCTCTTAGAAGAAAGAAGCCTTTGAGACTCAGAAGGCCCCAAGTTATAGGCCTTCTGTTTGTGGACCAGTGACTGCTTACGAAATTGTAAGATATGAGATTCCTAAGTAAGTTGAAAGTTAGGAAGTGCTCTGTCTTTACAGAGAAATTGTACATGAAGGCAACCCCCTGATGCCCAACACAAAGAAGAAAAACTATAAATTATAGTCTGATTCCTATCTGGAAGATCTTACATCTGAGGGAAGATGGATATACTTTTTTTAATAGTTAGCCAATGCACCTGTTTGTGCATCTATTCTAACCACACCCCCGACATGTAGTTGGCGATCATGTCCTACCAAGTCTATTTTCCTCAAGCTTCTGTATCATTGCCACCTTCTTCATTTCCTTGCTTTAAGAGCTCATCATCGACCATCTAATTAGTCCTTAGTGAAATAAAACCCAGTACCCTACAGATCCACAAGGCCATCCATTAGAAGTGAGAGGAAACATTTACTTGTAAAGCTAGAACAAATTAAATTGGATTAACACGTATACAGATGACAACGAAAACTGGTGGACAATAGGTGTATGCTAAGACGGTTGCCAGTCCAGACAGAAGAGCATGCAAGAGGTAACTGTTGCAATCATGAGCAGAGCATGCAAGGAGTACCATCTGGAATCATGAGCTCACACCAGTGATGGCTGTCTGCGCCGAGTCTTCACCACAGTGGCCCATCAGTGGTCAGGCTGGATGAGGAAGGAGCTTGGAGGCCAGCCCTCATAATTGAACATGGGGTTAGGGAGAGATTCCAGAAGACAAGCATTATTTCCCTCAGTCATCTAGGCACCGGTGAGCCTACTTATAGTCCAATGTTTTTTTTTTTTGCAAACCTGTGACCAAGTAGACAGCCCTGGTTAAGTGCAGTGTGTCATAAAATGAATAAAAGAGATGTAAATCTGAGAAAGGGAGGTGTAGGGAGGAGGGGGGAGTTGATAGGGATGGGAGGGGATGAAGGAGAGTAAACAGAATGCATTATATACATGTATGTATGACATTGTCTAGGAATAAGCTTAATTAATAAAAAACTAAAATGAGGAGCAATGCTGGTCTGGTTTGGGAGGTGTTTTATAAAACATTAGAGCACACAGGAGATTTAGCAAGAGGTCCCTTCAAGCCAAGATGTACAAATAAGAAAGAGGCAAAGACAGAAACAGCTCATTACAAAACGAAAAGCTATCGTTGGGGAACAATGAGGTTCCAACACACAGGGTAACCAGTCAAATCCTAGATGTGGCTTTGATTAAAGAGGTCCTGAAACTACTAGGCAAGTAGAGCTATATGAGGAAGGGGAGTGAGTGGGTAAAGGTGACAGAAGAGTGTATCACTCATGTTCTATAGAAGAAAACCAGCCGATGAACTCTAAAAGAAAGACACGAAGAAATGTTGACCGAATGGAAGGAAACAGGCCAAGCTGAAAGTGATCAACTTGGAGGCCTTAGAAACTAGATTGGAGATATGGATTACAGAGAAATTGGATGCTCAGATTATAAAGTTTCCAGGGTTTTCATTTACTTCTTAGAAAATGGGGGGGGGGGTGGGCACTGGAGAGATTGCTCTGGAATTTAGAGTGCTTGGTGTACAAACATGGTTTGTGCGCAGACCACAACCTCCGTGTAACTACTATAGGCAAGAGTACAGTAAAGGGATCACCAAGATGTCCACTCCATGATTTGGTGGGAAGAGTTTTATTGGAGGCACAAGAGGGAGAACATCCAGAGGCTTCTGGAAGAGTCCAGAGCAGAGAGAAAAAGAAGCAGACTGGACAGGGCCAATGCTATCTACGAAAGAAGTGAGAACAGCAGAAAATAGCAAGAGAGAGAATGGGGGAGAGGGGAATCATTATCATTTTAAAGAAATCAGGAAATGAGCTATAATCTAGAAGACATAGTTTATTGGAGGAGGAGAGGAGGAGATAAGAAGGGCCAGGAGGCCAGCAGGGGCTGGAAGATGTATAACAAATACAAGTGAATACAGACTTGAGAAGTCTAAACTTTAGCATTGGCTTTGGTATGTGTCAAATGGGAGCAAGATGCCTCATCTGCCAGAGAAAGGAAGAGACAGGGAAGTGGCTCTTCCGGGCAGACAGAAACCCGTTTCCCAGGTTCCCGAGAAATGCTGAAAGTATCCACCAGCAATCCTATAGTCCAGTGTGCGCTGAGCCGAGACTGCTATTTCTAGACATGTGCACTGTCCTTTGGAGTGTGAGACCTAGCAATAACCAGCCAGGTGTGTTTCCGTGCTGGCGTGTAAACCAGCGCTGAGGGAAGTAAGGACAAGAGGATCACTGCGCCTTACCAGTTTTCAGTCTAGATGGGGGAAATAAAACAAACAAACTGGGGGAGACCCCGCCTCAAAGCAACAAGACAAAGTGAAAAAGGAAGACACCTGAAGCCATCCGATGCCCTCCTCTGGTCTCTCAGAATACAGAGCTACACCCCCCGATATATACCACACATAGATAAACACACATGCACCCACATAAACTGTACTTACACAAATACATACCCACACATATACATACACAAAATAAAAAATAAAGTAGGGGTCAAGAGAGGACTCAGCAGTTATGACCACCTGTTGGTAGGGGACCTAGGTTAGTTCCCAAGCACCTATCTGGTGGTTTGAAACCATTTGTAACTCTATTTCCAGGGGATCTCTTCTAACTTCTGAGGGTTCCAGACACACATATGGTGCACTTATATACATACATGCAGGCAAAACACCCATACACATAAAACAAAATACATAATTTTTTAAATTTTTAATTAAAGAAATAGTACTGAATGAAAAAAATGGAATAAACGGACAAGTATTGCTGTGGAATAATCTTTTTGTACACTATGAAGATCTGTCACTCAGATTGGTATAATAAAAAGCTGTATAGCCAATAGCTAGGCAGGATTTTGGGAGCAGAGAGAAAGCTGGGAAGAGGATGGAGACTTGAGGAATTGCCAGGCAAACAGAGAGAAAACAGCATGTATAGAGTAAAGGTAATAAAGCCACGAGACAAAGGGTAGATTGATACAAATGAGTTAGTTTAAGTCATAAGAGCTAGTTAGAAATAAGCCTAAGCTATTGACTGAGTTTTCATAATTAATAATAAGTCTCTGTGTTGTGCTTTGGGAGCTGGCAGTCAGGACAGAGAAAAACTAGCTACAGAGTATGGAGAAAATTTTTATTGCAGATATAAAGGAGAACATGGCCAGTAGACTATACCACACCATGAGAGGAGAGAGGTAGAGGGAGGGGAGGAGAGGAGCTGCTAACCAAGAGAGATGGCTTAGGCCAAGAGAGGAGTAGCCAAAAGAGTTACTTAGGGCACAGGCTAAGGGAAGGAAGCAGAAGCCTATCCTTTAGGAGGGAGAGGTTTGGGGGGGGGGTGTGAGGAGTGCTGGGAGGAGCCACTGGTACTGAGTGGTGCTGAGAGCTGGGAGGAGTCTCAGGTACCCAGTGAGACCTGTCCTGGGTTTGAGACCTAACATATCCCATGCACTACATTAAGAAAAATTTTAATTGAACCAAATAAGATGCAATGAGAAAGTTAATGAAATTGTCAGCGCTTGAAGGTTCCATAAGAGCAAAAATAAGAAACAAACTATAGCATTCTCAAATGTGAAGCGTGAATATTCTTAAAATTGTGTAGGCACAACCTGTGACAGCTCTTAAGCCTGCCTGCATCAACACCTTCGTTTTCTTTCCCACAATCCTCCCCTAATTAGATTTGAAGATTCCCATAGGAAAAGGACTGTACTTCACAGTTTTGTGATATCCTCACCAAAACAGACATTAGCAAATAATCAAGGAACATCAGATGCCTTGTAATTGAGTGTCAGATAGCCATGGCATGGTTGCCATTTGGTGGACATGCTAAACTTGAAAAATCTACAAG